CCGACATTGTTTTTCCAAATCAGCTGATTTGCTGATAGCCCATCATATAAATCAGGAGAACTCTTATTAGCATTAGTGGTTTACCAACGCAGAGTTTCTATTCCAGAACGTCGAAATATTGGCTACTGTGAATTCACCTCAAGAAGCGAGGGTCGTAAGTGAACGGACACCTTCGCCGGATATTATAGAAATGTCAGAATCGATGACTGAATCGTCTACTGCTGCAGGGTTACAGCAACCTAAGTAAGTGCAAATCGTTGACAAAAACTTGAGCATTACAAAAGTTTCTGGTCTAAAAGTTGGATCCAAACACTTTTTTCAAGAGAAATCTTTTAGATTTGTGCGAACACTCAAAGATGGTAGCGCAGTTGTTGGAAAGCCAGCACAATTCAAGTGTATAGTTACCGGTATGCCTATACCAGAGGTTCGGTGGTATGTCGATGGTGACGCTATTCAACATTCTCGGTAAGTTGAACTTGTGATTACGTAGTATATAGAAAGGCTAGATTTGCAACTTTCTAGGGAGTACGATATTGTATATGAAGATGGTGTCTGTATATTACGAATAAACGAAGTATTACCCGAAGATGAAGGAGAGTATAGCTGTGAGGCGTCAAATACAGTAGGAAAAGCAGAAACAAAATGTTTTCTGAAAGTTCTCGGTAAGTGTTACATGTGAAATTTTTTGGATATTTTGATGACTCGCTTCGAGTGGACGTCAAGCAACGACATCAGATAAGTGCAAATCACAAAATAAAACGTTCTCCGGTGGCACAACAATTCATATTATTCTGATCCTGACTCTCATTCCGGGCATGATTCCTTTGCCTCTTCCTTTTCCTCCTGAATAACCTCTCTTTCCGCCGTCAGTTCAGTACATATTTTCCGCTAACCATGCAGTTCTTAGAACAGCGCTTACGTTTTGTTTTGTGTTTTGTGCTTTTCGCATGTGTGTTGTCTGGCGGGCGCTCAAGTGCATGGAGAGACAGAGCAGGCATGAGCACCGCTTCGTTTCAGATGGTAACCACCCTCAACATTACATAGAACATGCTCCTTCAATCGTTGAGCTCGTCGACGATCCGTACGACTCGTTTGACTCCTTTGAGTTCGAAGAGCAGAAGGCAAATAGGCTCTTCCCGGATCAGGACTC